ATTCATCTTTTTACATTTAATTTCTTTCTGCTATATAATTTCATTATATCATCACTTTATATATTTAATATCCCTACTATACTCTACCTCTAATTAAATCGTATTAAAATTAATAAGATAAATAAAAAATTATCAATTATTATTTCTTTCATTATTGAAATATTAATTAGAATAAGAATTGCTATATATTGATATACTATTGTAAAAATTGAAAAACTATTATTTTATCAAAATTAAATTAACTATTATCAGTACAATCAAAATTATTATTATTTTTTTTTTCATTATTAAATAGCAATATAAATATTTTCACAATCTTTCATCACAAATTTCCACATCTACGTCAAAAATATCAAGTTTGAAACAACAATTATCAAGCAAGAATTCGTTCTTCGTATATATATATATATTTCATGTATACGCCGTTTTAGCCTCTGATGGTAACGTCGTTACGAGACGAGTTGAATCGCGATGTATAAACTTTTAACGACATCTTTACAAGATTCGAAACTCGAACGAGGGCAATACAAGAAAGTTCCCCCTCCCCTCTCCTCCGTACACATTGAACGAAGATATTTTTCTCAAATACTGTAAATAAATAAGTAATAATGACACAACAATTATGAAACGAAGAATAAGCAACGATTGATTTAGAAATTTGGATCCCAAGATAACTTTTATGAGGGGGGGGGGGGACCATAGAAATCTCGAGTTTGCTCAATTAATGGTTCATTCCCTCTGTATTACCAACCTTGTAACTGCTTTTGTTTAAATGTGATTGCCCTCGTTTTACGACCATTCTTCTTCCCCTTCCTGCTCTCCTTCTCGAGTGTATGTTAAGTGTATGAACATGGTAAGAAAACCATGTAGGGCAAACATTGGACGAAATAATACAAACGAAGTAGGCGTAGTGGAAACTACGCAGTGGAAAGTTACACAAGTAGTTCAAATTTGCTTGAATGGTAAATATAGCGTGTATATACATATATATATATATCATTGTGTTGCACACGACTTTCCATCGTGTTTATCATTTTACGAGCCAGTGTAATGCTTGTAAACAGTTTTAAGAGGAAAGAATATTATTGTTCGGAATATATAAAACTTCAAATAATCCGATGTACGACGAATTTTATTTTTGTTATTTAAAAAGGAGACACTTGTGTATCTCTTTCACGTTTTGTTCATTTATGAAATATATAATAATCTTAAACAGTGTGTAATCATTATAGATATAACTTTGCTACAATTTTTATGATTAGTTGAGTTAATATAGAATTCGAAAATATATTTATCGAGATTTTTTCTTTCTTCAAGTTTGACGAGACGATTTATATATATATATATATTTTAAGAAAGAAATAATTTATTTCTCTCGAAACTGGAAACGCGTAAAAATAAGAGGAGGTATGAATAAATCAAAAATTTCGAGGATGCCTGCAGAATTTTATGATATGTTTATGCATGCAGTTGCATCGGTGAAGCCTCGTTTACATTAGAGGCAACTTTTGGGCTAGGTCAAACAGGCGAATTGACCTCGTTCAAAATCGTTTGTGTAAACTTAAATTTCAATCGGTTTATTTTATCAAAAATAAACTTTCGATAGTTCCACTCCACCAAGTTGCACTCGTATGTATTTTTGATCGGACAATACGATGATGTTATAAGCGTGATCTGCATCTAATTTCGACAATGCTCAATCGATATTTCTTTTTCTTTTTTTATTAACAAATGATTATTTTAAAGATATGAAAAACAGGAAGAAGAACAAAAAATGGATCAGAATATTTTTTTATCATAATTCCAAATTTAAAGTTAATTGTTTTCATGCCATATACAAAACATTTATTTATTTAATGTTGAAATACAATATTATTATTATTTTATTAAAATTACTAGTTTCAATTCAGCATATATGATATAATATTATTTTCATTTTTTTCATTACTCATTATGTTCATAAATATCGCGAGTAAAAAACGAATGAATATTTTATCTGGCAATATGGAATATTAATAGACTCGATATATATATTCCCGATCACGATATCGTTAAAAATGTTATCTTTTCGTTATCTTTTATTGTGAGTGAATTTAGATTGAAATTTACGGGGGAAGATCTACCACTCTGATTAATGCAGTTGCTAGCCATAAATCGAGTTTGGGGACGTTGCATTTAACGTACGACACTGGTGCGATTGTTCGAACAATGATGGAACTTTAACTTTATTGCTGCGCGATACAGGCCAATTTAAAAGGAACACGAGCTTTATATTATAATCTATCCATTCCTCTTTTCTTTTTTTTTTTTTGTTTTCACTTTTGTTTCCAATTTTTTTTTTCAAAGATACTTCACCATTTCAAAAATCATATGAATTCGTTGATGTTACGTTCCCATTGATTTTTAATTATGCGTTTGTGAGGTTGTTAAAAAAAAAAAAACGTGATGAAACTTTTAGAAATTTTAAAATTCAAAAAAATCCTGTAATTAATTTTTATATAAAATTTTAACAGAATTTTTAACAGAAATGTATATCATTATAAATTATTCACTTTTTTTTTTGTATCATAATAATTATTTACAGTAAAGGAAATACGTAATTCGTGCTCTTATTTTTTACATTTCTCCTTGGTGATAAATTAATATCAAGCATAATGGGATTAAAAGATACACTATTTTCCATTTTATTCTCCTTCGCGTTAATTACCATAGCGAGGAGTAAAAATTACTCCTAATAAATCACATTTATACATTTTCCACCGTCAGTCAGTGCGGCGACAAAGGAAAAAAAAATATAAAAAAATGATACAATAACAATGATGTAAAAAAAATTGAGTAATACGATTCAACGAAAAAAGCAAAAACTGTGAACCGTTAATCGAACGTAAACAAAGACTAAAAACTTCGTAAAATAAATATATCGAACATAATAAAATATAATATCAATATAAAAACGAAAGAGGATGATCCACCATTACGCCAAAATATTCGGTCAGATACGAAATCCAATGTGGAACAAATAGTATTCCATATCGATTCGTTTGCCCGTGGATTCTCATTTGGATAACAGTAGCGCGTTCAATGATAGAAGCGTAGTAGTAGATTCGACCGCGGTATGATCAGCCACTCGGCGTGTCTATCCCAACGGTCGACTGCGTATTTCTCGCTTGTTGGCTTTATCCACGCGTGGTGGCGACATTAGCGCGTCTTGCCTTCCACAAAATTACTGTAACACCCGAGCCCGAAATATCCGGGATTTCGTCGTGAATTCCGAGCGTGTCGAGTGAAATTAAGCGTACGAATGAAATCGATGGAAAAATCGCGTTTCGAGGCGAATAATATTATCGATAACTCGATTTTATCAAAGACGAGAGTTTTGTAACTCGTTTTCGTTCGAAATGTATATTAATCGAGAAATGGAATTCCGAATTGTTTCGTATTACTGAATTGAATTTGAAAATCAATGTTTTAGATTTAATTATTCTTGGAATATGCATTATTGATGAAATTTATGGTAAAACTTTAGCGAACAAGGAATTGACTATTGAGCGACGATAAGAGTTATTGCATTGGAATACAATTTTGTACAGTTTTCATAACCTTTGTTGAAACGTGATAACGAAATGTAATATTGTGTTAACATTTACTTACTGGCTAAAGAAATTCTGAGAAATTGGTATTTAAATCTATGTAGATATCAAGAGAACGTTACATAGAGAGAATTCTCCATGTTCCCGTACTCTTGAGACCTACGAGACCTAATATGCAACGAACTGGAGCACTGGAGTTCGAGCATTTGACACGTTCATGTATAATTCAAGATAGATTATTGTATGTTGACTTAAAAATATAAATTATCTTGGAAAATATATATATACATATATATTATAACACGAACATAAGAAAAATTAATTAATTCAATCAAAGCGGTTCGAAAGAGAAAAACATTAAGTTAAGAATTATATATTTTTATGTAATTTCAATGCAAATCAAATTATAGATATTTTTTTTATTTCTGATAAAGAAACATCCCTCGATTCTTGTTTCGAATACTTAAAAATTCCGAATCCTAGTGGCAAGAAGTACAATTCTTAAAATTCCTCCGAAATATCATACGAGACAATACCCAAGGAACAGAATTTTCCATTTCTGCGAGCGAAATAATTCCTCCCCTCTCCCCTCAATTCGATTTCCGCGGCTCGAGAAATCGCGAATTCGCTTAAATTTTGCGAAATTCCTCGCGTGGAACACGCGAAAAACGAGGAGGAGCGAACGACGATGAAACAGGAACGAGTTTTATAGCGGGTGGACACGACGGAGAGCAGGGAGCTGAGAGTAATTCGCAGACTTATTTCCGCGATAAAATAAGAGTCGCGGCGCGAGAGGCGAGATACAAAGCGGAATTCGCGAGAGAAATTGTATTTTGCTCGAACCGTGTGTTGCGTATATTCGCAGCCGATTCGAAGATCAGCGAGGACGAGCGTTCTTTCGAGTCCATTGAGAGAATAAAGGAAAATGAATTTGAAGGGAGTAGGAGCTTTTTACGGAAAGTTTGGCTTCGGTGTTTGCAGATTTTTTGCGCCTCTCGCGATCAAAGAAGGACGTTTAAACGAGTTTGGAATAAATTTGTGCAGCTTGTTAATTAAAGGAAGTCGAACCGTTGCGAAAAAGTGTGGAAATTATGTATGTATACCGGGGAAGAAGTTGTGGAAGATTAATAACCTGGGAGGGAGATAAGATAAGATGAGAGTGGTGTAAAACGTTTATTTTAAGATTATGGTATTAATTTGGGAGATAATGAAACTGTTAAAGGACATTTGTAGTGAAAGAAAAAGATTAATTTTCAGTTAGATAGAAAATAATAATGCAAATTAAAATTAAAAAGAAGGTGAAAGAATAATTTTTAAATATCCTAGTTATATAAATAATGATTGTTGTATGATAAAAATGTAAAAAAGTTAAATTTTGATAATTTAAAAAGAAAAATAAAAAGAATTTTCTTTTAATATTTTTTTTTTTTATACAAATTTTGATTCTAAAAGGAACAGTGGAAGAGAAACCAATAGATGGATTTTATTACTACTATTTGAAACATAAATACAAATTGCAACAATATTCTTTCTTCTACTCGTTAAATAAAAATTTATGTGATTCTATTTCAGAGCAGCATCTGGTTTGATATTCTTTCTCGAGATTACATGGGCCATCACCTTGTTCGTACAGATTTGTGTCAGGTAAATAAATTTAGCATACTTTTCCTATACATATTTCTTATCCCTAAATTATTATAAATATTCCGTTCGTAATTTTACACGATTTTTACAGAAATATACGTTTAAATTATCATCATCACTAAATATTACATATATTTAATGCTGAAAAAATGTGTAGAATGATCAGACCGATCGTGATCAGACAAATAGAACAAAATAATCACTATCGAAGAATAGAGCAGACAAGTAGAATGGGCCAGTTGCTCCCAACCAAATAGAATAAGCTAGTCACGTCCAGACAGATAGAATAGACCAATCATGGCCAAGCACGTAGAATAAAACAATCATAAGAAAAATAAGAGAGTTACATTCAGAAAAATAGTTTACGTCAGTCACAGTCAGATAAACACAATAACGTGGTCAAAATAAAAAATGAAACGCCTACAAATATCTTCCATAAATCAATTTCTTCTTTTTTAATTTCTACGTTCAAAACTCCTATTCCAAAAAGAAAAAAGAAGAAGAAAAAGAAGAAAAAAATCAGTTCATTGAAAACAAATCTTCCTACAAAATCCTCAAATAATCACACACTATTATTCCAAACCAGCAAAGCGAGCTCCTTTTCATTCTACCTTCCTTCATCTCTTCAAGTACTTTCATCGAAGTGCAAACAAGCAAGAGGGAAGAAAATCCTCCATCGTATAAAACATCTGATTTTCATCGGTCGTAATAAGAAAGGTACAAAAAAAGGGAGGGAGGAGGGGAGAGACGTTTATTCGTCGACTTTATTCCTTTTGATAACGTCGACAAGAATATAAACTCCCGAAACGAGTGGTGTCGAGCCGAGATAGATCGTCGGAAGTTCGTCCGCCAATAAAATCGTCTTTTCCCTTCGGAAACTCCTTTCTCCCTTTTTATTCCACCTCGACCTTTCGCCGTATTCACTTCGAGCACGACCACCCTCCTTGGTGGCTTCACAATCGTCGTCAACCTCTTCTATTATACATCTATATCAGGTTCTTGCATATTTTCTTTGCCCATCTTCGTTTCCCACTTTACACGTGGAGGTGTATTTTACTCGCGATCGAGGAAATTGGGACAAAGTTCGAACCTGGTAATTACCAGTCTAGCTTTCCATCCTTGCCACCGCTTACTTTTTTCTCCGTGATCCTCCGTTCGAGAATACTTTGCACGATTTCGTCGACGTTTTTGCGTTTATTGGAATCTGGAATGACATTAGGAAATCAATGAGATTCGGCTCGAGAATTCTCGACTGACAATGAAGGGAAAATGGAAAAAGGGGTAGGTTGGTGAAATAACGCGTGACTTGCTGCAAATGAAACTATAGGATTTTTATAAAGAGGTGTTGTAAGGAATATTGGTTTTTGTTTGAATTGGTTCAGATATGTGGATGATTGGAAAGTGAGAAAAATAATAAGAAGTTATGCGTTTGACTTATGGTTGGCCTGTTCTACTTGTCTGAAAAGTGAAAAATGTTATCATATAATATAAGTATGGTTTTTTGGTCAGATTAAAAATGAGATATATTATAAAAAATACATACCTGAATGTATTTAATAAAATTTCGATTTCATCAAAGATAAATTGTCTTGAACTATTTTTTAAATAGTTATTAATTTAAGATGAAATAGGAAATAGAATTTACATGTAAAATGTAATAATCTTAAAATTCAAAGGATATATTGAAGAAATTAATACCGATAATATCAAATATCTATAACAATAATTAATTATTATTATACGATTGAATTTCATCAATTTCAACAATGAATGGAATTGTATAGATATTATAGATTGAATGATTTCATTTATAATTTGTAATTCTGATTGACAATCTATCATTATATCAATTCATTCACAGATTACTGCAATTTTATTATTTTCTCTAAACTTAAATAAATTATAAATTAGTAATTTTTAATATATATTTTAATTATTTATGATTTACTAAATTATTTACTATTTTTAAATATTATTTTACTCTCTATTTTTATTTGTTTCATAGCATACTTCAGAAATACTCAAGTAAAAGTATAAATTCAAATTGGAATATAACTTGATATTATTTGCAAAACTGGTAAGTGATATTTAAATATGTGATGAAACTTTACAATAAATTTAATAATATTTTATAAATAATTTAAATTTTATTTATTTCATATAATCTTATTTTTTTTTATTTTAGACTTACTAATTTTCAATTATTCCAATATGTTTACCAAAATAAATCTATTATCCAAATTACAACGATATTAAAAATTATATATTATTATCTAATAAAGTTATAAAGAAAATATATGAATTATTTTCCTCTTAATAAAATCTTCAACGCTTTATTGCATCTATAAATCCAATTTGAAAAGACTTAGTTCTTGCAGAGAATGACATGGACCTCGATAAAACGTTGTATATATTTTGTTTCAGGAACGACGAGTCTCTTTGTTCGTGTTGCTGGTCGGCAGTGTTGGCGATAACAAGGGGTTGGCGAAGGGCATTGTTTTATCTACCATTATCCTGTATTTTGGCATGGAAACCGTATAGTCTATGGTTGTCCTATGTTGCGGGTAACTTGGCAAACTAGTTGTTTAAACATTTATAAGTTGAAAATTATTAATTAAAAGTAACAACAGAAACCCTTTTGTCAGCTAATTCATAGCTTAATAATGCATTAGTGGAATTATTATTTCTTTTATTTATTTATTTATTTCATTTTATCATTGAAATTATTTAACGTATTATTTTTAATATATAATTTAACTTGATTATTTTGAGAATATTATTGAGAATATTTGAATATTATTTCAATTAATTAAATTAGGAGAAATTTTGTATTTTCTCATGTGGAAACATTTACTTCGGTTTTGAAATAGATTTTACCTTTAAATATATGAAATGATAGAATTTAGTAATCTCAAAGAAAAATGATAAAACTTGTAGTTTGAAAAATTATGAATTACATAGTACATTACATTTGCAAATTATTTATAAATTAATTATTGTGAATAAAAAAAAAATCAAATTGTATAAAGATACATATAATTTGATATAATTAATTATATTAAATTAAGATATACAATTGTTGCATTTTAAAATTTTAAAGACTAATTAACAAATCAAAATAATATATAAATATAATACTATTTTTGTCGTTGATAAGATATATTTTAACTTGTTCGTGAGTACGTCACCATCCAAAGGATTCACGAAAGCAAGTTCGGGTCTGTATAAATCTAATGCAGCACCTGAAAGCTGTCGCTCCTCCCTGCGGATACTCACCGACTCATAGACAGTAACTTACCTCGTAAAAGTTGTATTGAGGAGAATTATATGATATTGAGGATAAGATTTAAAAATCATTATTTTTCACTTAAGATTATTTTCATTCGTGTCCAGGATCCAGGAATTACATCCAGATTTATTTTCATTGATTTTTAATTTTCAATATCTGAAAAACAAAGGCAAAAATGCCTTTAAAAGGAAAAATTGTCAAATATCAAAATTCCATTATTAACAATCAAGAAAATTGATCTAAAGGATCAAAAAATAAAAGTTTCCATTTTCAAATTTTAAGAAAATTATGGAACTTTAAAATTTTGCTTAAAACAATCTTAATTTAATGATCAGAAACTATAATACAATAATTTTTATATGTAATATTTTTAGTATATATTATTATAGAATCAAAAAATGATTTAATTTGACAAAATATTTTCTCAAATATAATTTCAAAAATATAACCATAATAAATAACAGGAAGAAAATTTTCATTATTCTGAAATCTTGTATTGTGAAAAAATATGTGAATCAGAGGAAAGAAAGAGACAAAGATTTGATGTTAAATAATAACATCGAAAGCAGACAGAAATGAAAGAAATATACCCCGTTATACATTTCCCTTCTGTTTTTATATCCCCAGCCGGACTTTTGGCAGTGCTATCCTTGCTGCATATTACGTCCAGCGCTTTGGGCATACGTGGTTCCTGCCAGATGAGCAATGCCACGGATTCAGTTGGCGAGAGCCTTCTAAACACTAGGCCTGAGAATTACGATCGTTTTGAAGAAGTTCTGGTAAGTATATACAAGCTAAAAAAGGAAAAAAAGAAAAAAAAGAAAAATATTTTCTGTATTAAAAGATTAACGTTGAAAATCCTTGAATTTCTGCTACAAAGAAAATGTAATTTAACATAATTGTATAAGGATAATCCTTTCATTGTTCTGGTAATTTTTTTACTTTAAACTAAAAATTTTCTTCTTAAGAAATTAGATATTTAAGAAATTGGAGATTTTTTTAATAATTTAAAAGTGAAAATGATAAATAGATATATTAAATAGTTGAAATGATTAAGATTATTATGAAAAAAAAAAGAAGTAATTAAAATTGAATTTATTATAAAGAAATTTCGAAATTGAAATATATTTTAATTATACATTTTATTAGGTAAACTAATTCTTAAATAAATTATTTGTTATTATGAAAATATTATTTTTGTACTGAAATGGAATTATATGGTAATTTAAAAGAAATTGTAATTTTAATTTTAATTGCAATTATTATAATTTATTATTATTTCAAATTATTATTCAAGTTAAAAGAGAAAATGAAGAGAATTATAACATATAATTTTCTTATTACTTTTTTTTAATGTGCATTATTTATGTGAAAATCGTTACATAGAACAATAAATATGAGAATAATTTTAATTTCTTTTGAAAAAAATTTACAGTTTAATAATTCAAAAATAATTATTGGAAAATTAATTATTTCACGGTTTTTTTATGCAAACATACATTTAACCTGTTCAGTGGATAATTTCACAATATCAAATATTATTTGAAAATATTTTTATGAAAATTAATAATAAATAGAAACGAATATCATAAAAAACCATGGCCAATGAGATGAAATGAAATAAAATTTTTATTTATATTTAATATTTACCAAAGAATAACCTATTCATCACTCAAGCTCAAAAAAAATTAATATAAAAATATAATATTATTTCATATTAAAATAATTCATCATTAGAAAAATAATTTTTAAAAATATTATTTTGACAAAAACGAAATCAGAATTTTTCATATTAAATTTATTGTAATTGCAAAAATAATATCAATATGGCGACTCAATTTCACTCCAACAGGTTAAAATGCAGTAAAACAAGGTCTTAAATATTCTGATACTTTAACCCGCTTCTCTCTACAGAATTTTTCACTGTAATTTTACATCTACTATTCGCATCTTACATTCAATATAACATTTCGATACTTTAAAAAATTTTCCTTCAATACTTTTCACGAAATTATAAAGCTTCTTCACCTGTTTGTATTTATCTCATATAATATATTATAAAATTTTCATAAAAATTCAAAAAATTAAAATAAAATAAAATTTTCATTTTTTTTCATTTATTTTTACTATCATTACTTATTTATCTGCATTATTCAACATTAATATACTAGCATCTTAACATTATTTGTAAGATTATCTTTTCTTTTCTTATTTCTTTATCAATAATTTAATTAAATCAAATTCCAAAGAAGAAATTCTGATTTTTGACCTAAGGAAACATTATGATTATAAAATAATTATAAACTTTATATTTCAAAATTCGACAAAATAATATAAATTATCATTCTAAATATTATATCATATTCTGAATTATATTATCGATAATATTATAATTGAAATTATATTTCTTTGCAAAAATTTTTAATAATAATGTAATCTTAATATATAACAAACTATATTATTATTAATTTTATTACCTTGTAAATTATATAAATTTTTTATAATGAAAAATTTTGAAAAGGACTGCTGATCTATGACATAGATGAGAACTACTGATTTAGCAGTTATCCCCACCACTTTTCGCGCCATAAAAAGTATCGATATATTCAATTTTCGATTTAACAATTATACATTATAATTAGTAATTCAATTAAATAAAATTAAAATATGTAAACATTTTTCAATTTATAAATTAAAATAAATAATAATATTTTTTTTATCAATTTTTTCATCACTTTTTGATTTGCACTTTTTGATTTGCACAATAAAACACATGACTCATGTCCACTTTCACTTCTTTTTTCTTCTAAATATTTATAACTAGCTATAACAACTATCAATCTTATACATTACTAATCTTTTAGATCTACAAAAAGAAAAATTCCGAACTCTGATCGAATCATATCACCATAAAAATTCATTTTGATTATTTCATAGATATGTTTTCTAATTTTTTATCCAATATTTGTTATAATTCACTTATGTCAATTGATGTACATCAATTCCTTCCCATATCATTCTCGTCTTCTTTACGAAAATTCTCGATTCACAATCATTCACAACATAACATTTCCATTACTCGTGACATAACCTAATTCCTAATATATCATTCGTCGAATTGTCCGATGGCTAGCAATTCATTCTCCTGACCACAAAGAAAAGAACCTTTTTTCTAAGATCGAGTGCATCGCACAAGGTGACGGAAGTACTGGACGACGGTGTGTCTGGACCAACAGGACGAGTGGGAGACAGCGACGGAGAAATATGACACGAACGTCAGCCCTCATGGGCGAGCGAATCAGATGAGGATAGTGAACCGGAACAAAGGACATGTCAAATAGCTACGCTATCTTAGTCGTTGATAGCAGACAGAAAGAACGCCGATCCCGACATTTTGCAAACGATATCAAAATTCAAGCTTCTTCCGCATTGTACAGAAGCCAATGGCATCTTTGCAAAGATGTAATATATAGAAAAGAAAGGAGGGAGAAAGCTTTGCGTGTTCGAAAAGTTACAGAAAAGTTGAACAGAGGAACGATGAAACTTTCCGAAGGAAGTTCAGCGGTCCAAAAATGAGCAGATAAAATGCGAGACTTGTTGAAAAATTTGATCAAAGATAAAGAGTGTCGCATCATTGAGATATGTAAAAATACTTGCAAGATTTCTTGTTTTCGTTTTGCGTAGTTGAAATTTTCTACGAGTCAATATATGGTATTGAAATATCGCATACGTTAGAACAGTGTTTCCTAATCAATGTCGCGAAAATAGTATTAAAATTTTATGAAACATAAAAATATATAATATTTATTGATATTTATAAATAATGTTAAAAAATGAAATTTATAGATCAACGCACAAATAAAAATTCATTATTGATTACATTATAAAGTACTATCTTTTTCCATATCAGTTGAAATTATTAATATTAAATTTTATTCAATTTTTGATTAAATCTTATTCTAATCTTTAATTGATAAAAATATTTTAAAATATAACAAATGTACTATCATATCAAGTTACTCTTAAAAAGAATCAGGAAACACTGGATTAGATTGTTGCGTATGATTTGAAATCGGCCTTAGATCGTTAAGAGTTCCTTTCGATATATATACGCGCGCGTTCAAATGTTATTTTTAAAAAAAAGCTGTTTGACAATTTCTCATGCTCTAATGTTTAATAATGTTATTTTATTTGTATTTGTGTAAGTAGTAAATGTTTTAAAATGGTTATTCATAAACAATTGTACTCTAATAACTGTGAAGATAAATTTTAGAGTGATGTAAAAAAATTTATGTAGACGATTCTGAAAAAAAGTTATGAATAATAAATTCAATCATAAATTTGAGAATATCGCAAAATTATAATATTATTCTTTTTTTAAAATAAGAATTAATCGTATTAAAATAATTTCCATATAAATAAGAACTTATTTAAATGAAGGTATTATTTTATTTCTGAAATTTAAAAATTTTTTAACTTATTAAATTTCGAAACATAGTAATGAAAACGGTAATCTCAAATTTATGATGAATAACATAGTATGTGTATAAATGAATAATAGAGTATATGATAGATATTATATATATATTATATAAATAATATGTTTTACGCACGTATTAATTTATAAAAATGTAATTCTGATAGTAATAGCTTATAGAATTTAATACAGGCATTTATATTTAAATAACAATTTGCAATTTTGAAAAAGCTCATAATTGTTTCTAAAATCATAAAATTAGTGCAAAATATTATGATTGTTAATGATTGTATGAATGAATATTATTTATTTATATTTTTATCGAATGGGAAGAGAGAAATAAGAATGATATGTTTTATAATTAACAATATATAATTAACTATTACATAACAAAAAAAATAAAAATGAAAAAATTATAAAACATTTATAATTTTCAATATTGTTTTTAATATCATTATATAATATTTTCCATGTGTATATGTCTAGATTTAAATAAAAAAAAAAGAGTAATTAAAATAAATTACTTCTCATTCTCATTATTCCGTATAAATTTAAATATATGTTTTTTAACATGTTGCATATTCAAAATTATTAGTTTTTACTATGACAAAATATGTGAGAAAGAATGTGATAAAACAAAAATATTATAAAATATTATAAATGCATTGCTAAGATTTGAAGAAGATTTATTCGTATACAAATGATTTTATATGTAACAACATATATTATATCACATTATCAATTGTACAGCGTATGATCGCATGATGTATAAATCAATAGTAATATCTCCATATAAGCGATTGAGAGTATTAATTGTAAGTTTAATATTAAACAATATATTAATTAAATTATTGTACATGTATGGCAGCCTATAATAAAAGTCAAAATATAATTAATAAATAGTCGTTTTACATGATTCGTTTAATATAATTTTTCATTTCAATTTTTGATCACAACTATAAATTTACTTTGATTTATTATTATTACCTTATTATGAATATTTCAAAAATATATCATACCAAATCATACTGAAAATTATTTGTCAATTTTATTTTTTGGTACTGTCAAGAAAATGTTTTGTATAAATATAAATATATATATATTTATAACCAGTGCAAAAATAATCCATCTATATTATTATTTAATAAATATAAAAAAATTTATTTAATAAAATAAAAATGAACTTATAAAAATTGTACTTAAAGATTGTTTGTAAAGATTCAGCTATAATATTATATTAGATTAAAAAACTTAACAATTATCTTTGATTATTTCTTAATTAAGAATCAGATTTATTTAAATTGCACTTTTAAAATTTTAGTTTTAAATAAAAATGGATAATAAAAATTTTTTTAATTAAAATGGAAGACGAAAAAAATAAAAAATAATAAAAAAATGGAAATTTATAGTATATTATCAGGAAGAATTTTAAAAAAATGAAAAATGATCTAAATAAAAATTAGATCACTATATTAATATATTATTAAAAAATAATTAAAAATAATATAATATTCTATGTGGAGTTCCATATTCATTACAATTTATCCATTTGTATTATGTACAAATATATTATATACTTTCAAAGACCAAATAGCAAACTAAGATAAGAAAATTAATTAAAAAAATTTGAATATTTATTTATATAATTACAGACATTTTTATTGAAAAAAAATGTCAATATTAATACTACAGATTATTTGTTTTATTAGAGATCTTTGATTGAAACTTTTATTAAAAATGTCACATATATGTATATACATATAATATTTATGTTTATATATATTTATGTTCATATATATATTTTATATATATATATATATGATTAAGTTGATATCTTTTTGTATTATCTCTATGTAATAAATAATATTTGAACTTCAATTATAATCAGCTGAAAATATACATGCAACAAACAATATTAACATTTTTATATAAATTTTGAAGTTATTCTTATTATTTAGCATATGTATTATTTGTTAAATAAAGAAAAATCTTATATCTTCATAAATATCTTCATAAACATAGCAGATAATAAATGTTTAATTGCGAAATATATATATATATATATATATATATATATATAATAAAATATANAT